GCGACACTGAGGGTTGCGATCCATTGCCGGACACGAAAAAAGACAAAAAGGAAAAAAAAAAAAAAGAACTTACAACATGGAGAGATAGATAGATAGAATGAATTAAAGAGATAGAATCAAAGAAAGGGAAGGAGGAAGGGACAAAAAGAAAAAGAAAATTATGGTATTATCTGAATTAGCAGCAAAACATCACATTCAACAAAGTTTGTGTTGGATATGTTTTGTTAGACTGTTTAAATATGGGCATTTAAAAAATAATGGAATCATAGAATAAAATAATGAAATCATAGAATCACAGGATCCTTTGAACCATACTATCTTAAAACAAGGGTCAGCAAACTTTTTCTGTAAATGGCTTTTATGGGCCAAGAGGAAAAATCAAAGATATTATGTAGGTGTTTAAAAAACAAGAGAAATCAAATGTATACAATTTTTTTATTGATGAAATTTAAAATAAAAATTTAGTATAATTTTTATAATCATGGTCTCCTAATGAGAAGAATGCAATTCTTTTAGGGGGAATAACATTTGTTTTCACTGGGGTTCAAAGTTAGTGTTTCCTTTTGTCAACTCAATTGCAAGTGTTCAGCTGTAAAAATTATTCTTGAACTCGTGAGTTGGTGGGCTGTTGTCTACCCATGTTTTAGAATATAAGGGGCCTTTATAATCATCTAGTAGTTAATGAAGTCAAGGTTGTTTCTTATGGTCACACAGTTTTTAGTGACAGGTGATACCAAAACACAATGCTCTTTAAAATGTTTCACTTCCTCTGATACTCTTAACATATCATTTATTTAACCAGAATACCCTATTCCCTAATCATCTTATAAAAGGGAATTCACCTTATAGAAAAACTGCCCCCTTTTCTGTGCCTCACATCTTTTTCTACCTTACCTCAGCCTCTTAAGTAATAATAATAATATTTTAAAATGAAAATACAAATACTGTATCAAAATTATTTTATTGAAGATTTTGGGCAGTTGATACAACATTTTCCCTTTATCAGTGCATATTTTTAAAAGTGACTTAAATTAATTTTAATTGTATCAGTGAACTATGTTATTTTATTTTATTTTATTTTATTTTTGTCTTTTTTCGTGTCCGGCAACGGATCGCAACCCTCAGTGTCGCGCCCGTATCGGACTGGGACCGGCAACGGGATCGCAACCCTCGGTGCTGCGCCCGCACCTCGCTCAGCCAGCGAGCGGGAACCGGTCTGTATGTGGGATTGCATTCTTTACAACTTTTTGTAGAAGTCCCAGGTGAGTTTATAAAAACCTATCAAATTACTTAATGATCTTTCTGTTGTCAAGTGTTCTAATATATGCTTTTTTCCCCCCCCCCCAGAGGAAATAAAAGCCGAAACTGAAAAACAGAGGTTTGTGGGATTTCTTTTCTTTGGTAAAAATAATTCGCAAACTTGTCAGTTTGGACCAAAATAATAACAGAATCTAAATTTTAGTGTGGCAAATTTTCTGCATGTGATCTTTATAGTAAAATCAATTTTTTTAAAAAAAGGTTTTTAAGGAGTGTAATTGTAAGTATACTTATAAATGCAAAAAGACCTCATATGGATAAGTATGTAAAGGTATTTCTAAAATACCATGAGATATGTTTTAAAGTCTTAAGACTGACTCATATTTAGAAAAATTACTGGGCTTCTTTGATAATATTAGCTTCTCTAGGGTTCAAGTAACTCAAAAGTGCAGTTTGACTTAAGGACAAGTAGAAAACCAATTGATTTTTAAGGTATTATAAATGATTTGTTAAGTGACAAGAAAGTATTTCTATAATAGAAACACCTTGAGGTCTTTGGAAAGAATGTTAGACAAGAATCCAGTGTCTTATGTTTCTCAAAGCTCTGACCACTAGCTTTTGACCTTGTGGTAAATCACTTAGCTTCTTTGGGCTTTGGTTTCTTCATGAACTATGGGAAGATGGAGGATGGGTTCAGCAAGATTCCTTTAAGAACTGAAATTCTGTGTTTTTATATGAGTTTATTATCGATATGATAAATGTGATATTCTAATCAGTCTCTTCTTTTTTATTTAGTCCTCCTCATGGAGAAGCAAAAGCTGGATCAAGCACCCTTCCCCCAGTGAAATCAAAGACAAATTTTATTGAAGCAGACAAGTACTTCTTACCCTTTGAGTTGGCATGCCAGTCCAAATGTCCCCGCATAGTTAGTACATCTCTAGATTGTTTACAGGTATGTGTAAAAGGGCATTATCTAAAATCTGTCAGATTTTTTTTTTTTTCCTTTTTGTCTTTTTTCGTGTCCGGCAATGGATCGCAACCCTCAGTGTCGCGCCCGTACCGGACCGGGACCGGCAACGGGATCGCAAACCTCGGTGTTGCTCCCACACCTCGCTCAGCCAGTGAGTGGGAACCGGTCTGTATGTGGGATCCGAACCCTTGGCGGGAGCGCCACCGCGCTCCCAAGCGGCGCACTGTAGCAGTGCGCCACCGGGCCGGCCCTAAAATCTGTCAATTTTGAATGTGTTTCTAAAACATTAATCACAATTGATGATTTAGACATTTCCATGAAAGCCTTAATTCTTTTTTGTAGTAAGAAACCAAATGTTTGTTTATATTCAAGATAGACTGTAATAGTTACAAAAAGATGTTGCTAGTTTAATGGTAACAAAAATTATTAGCTTAGTGAAACACTTTCATTACTGACAACCTTAGTAATGAAAATGTTGATTTGATCTCTTTCCATCAGTAAAATGCAAAAACCGTAATACTTTTATCGTCCTGATGACTTTATATACATCATCATTTGCAGATGATTTTACTAAATGCCTGCTGTTTTGTATAAAGCAATAGGTTAATATTGGCAGCTTAATATTTCTCTGGACTTTAGCTGTCACACTCATTCATGTCAGAAAAATTCCTGAACTCTTTCATCCAGTTTTACATACACGCACACATTTACTCACACATGCTCACACAGAAGATCCTCTTAATTATTTGTAAGACAGACCTCCAGACAGACGGGTACTTCTCTTCTTAGGTGTTCTCACCATTAGAGAATTAAGTGTATTCATCTAACAAATCAGTGGCCAGGAAAAGACCTTGTGATTTGTCCTTAAGATAGGTTAAAGATAAGTTCATCTGATTTATCTGATTTGTGACTTTGTTTTCCCTGGAAAATTAGAATGTGATATCTAAAACCTTCCCTTCTAGGCCATAATGGTAATTATGAATGAACAAGTCTGTGATTTATTGCAGCCAGTGTATGAAACTGGCTTTTCTGCATATTGATCTAATTTGGAAAGAGTTTTGGGGTCATTTAAAAGTGTTAAGATAGTTTTCACAAAAGCAGTGTTAGTAGAACCTTGTTTAGGTAAGCAGAAAGCAATTCTGACTTATTGGAGACAAGTTATCAAAGTATTGCCTGATGGTTTCTTTGTTTGTTTTTCTTTCTTTCAGTTTTAATTTATATTTATTTTTGCGGGGTAGAGTGTGGTGTTCATTTTTTTTTTTTTTACCCTTTTTAATTGAAATATAGTTGATTATTCATATTTGTGGAGTGCAGGGTTAAATATCAATATCTATGTAAAATATGTGATGTTCAAATCAGGATAATTAGTATATATATATATTTTTTTGAGTTCCTGCTTTTATTAGGATAATTAGTATATTCATCATACAAAGTGTAATCATTCTTTGTGAACCTTTACCAATTTCTCCCTAGCCCTCCTCCCCTCACCCTTTCCCACCTCTAGTAATCACAGTTCTGTTCTCTCCTTTTGAAAGTTCATGAAAGTTCAACGAATTATTATGATCTCTCTCTCTCTCTCTCTTCCTCCCCTCCCTCGCTCTCCCTACCCTGGGAACATGTGGTATTCTCTTTTCTGTGCCTGGCTTATTCCACTTAACATAATTTTCTCTAAGTTCATCCGTATTGCTGTGAATGGCAGGATTTTATTATTTTTTATGCCAGAGTAGTATTCTATTGTGTGTATATATCACATTATCATTATCTAGTTGTCTCCTGATGGACATTTGAGTTGGTTCCAACTCTTGGCTAGTGTAGACAGAGCTGCAATAAACACAGGAGTGCAGGTATCTCTTTGATATGATTTCCTTTCCTTTGGGTACACACCCAACAGTGAGATTGTTGGATCATATGGCAGTTCTATCTGTAGCTGTTTGAGGAACCTCCATACTGTTTCCCATAATAGCTGTACTAATTTACAGTCCCACCAACAGTGTAGGAAGGTTCCCCTTTGTCCACATCCTCTCCAACATTTGTTATTCTCTGTCTTTTTGATAGTAGCCAGTATAACTGGCGTGAGATGATATCTCATTGTGGTTGTGATTTGCATTTCCCTGATGCTTAGTGATGTTGGGTATTTTTTCATGTGTCTGTTGGCTATTTGTGTATCTTCCTTTGAGGAATGCCTGTTTAGCTCCTTTGCCTATTTTTCAATTGGGTTACTTGTTTTTTTACTGTTAAGTTGTTTGAGTTGTGTATTCTGGGTACTAATCCCTTGTCGGATACATGGTTGCAAATATTCTCTCCCATTCTGTAGGTTGTCTTTCCCTCTGTTGTTGTTGTTGTTGTTGTTGTTGTTGTTGTTGTTGTTGTTTTGCTGTGCAGAAGCTTTTTAGATTGATATAATCACATTTGTTTATTTTTCCTTTTGTTGTCTTTGCTTTTGGGATCTTATTCATAAAGTCTTTGCCCAGTCCTACTTCCTGAAGTGTTTCTCCTATATTTTCTTTTAGGAGTTTTATAATTTCAGGTCTTATATTTAAGTATTCAATCAATTTTGAGTTGATTTTGGTGTATGGTGAGAGGTATGGGTCTAGTTTCATTCTTCTACGTATGGATATACAATTTTCCCAGCACCATTTATTGAAGGGGCAGTCTTTTCCTCATTGTATGTTCTTGGTGTCTTTGTTAAAGATCAATTGGCTGTAAGTACGTGGGTTGATTTCTGGGTTCTCTATTCTGTCCCATTGGTCTGCATGTCTGTTTTTATGTCAGTACCATGCTGTTTCAGTATGTGCTTACATAGCACAATGCTTCATTTAGGGTGACAGCATAGTTTTGTACCCATTAGGTCACCACTTTTCTCCCTCCCTCCACCCCTCCCCCCTCCCCACCTCTGTTAACCATTATTCTACTCTCTGCTCTTATGGGAACCACTTTTTCTTTTAGATTCCTCATATGAGAGATTATGTGGTATTTGTCTTTCTGTGCCTGAGTTACTTCACTTAACATGATGATTTCCAGTTCCATCCATGTTGCTGCAAATGATAGGATATTGTTTCTTTTAATAGCTGAATCGTATTCCACTGTGTATAGGTACCAGTTTTTTATCCATTCATCTGTTGATAGGTATGTAGGTTGATTCCATCTCTTGGCTATTGTGAATAGTGTTGTGATTCACATGGGAGTGCAGGTGTCTTTTTGATATTTTGATATCATTTCCTTTGGGTATATACCCAGTTGTGGGATAGCTGCGTCATAAGCCTGTGGTTTTGTTGTGGTCATTCTTCTGTTTTTGTAATTATTGCAAGTGGAAATAATTTCACATGTTTATAGCTAATAAACTTTCTCCAGAAAAAGTCGATGTAGCCTTTGGCTTTGATTATATCTTGATATTCTTATGTAAAATTTTTAATGTATATTCAATTGCATATTGTAATTTTAATGTATATTCAATGAGTATATAAGTTAGCTTAATTTGGATCTTTATTTTTTCTTCTCCATTTCAGAAACTAATTGCTTATGGACATTTGACTGGCAATGCTCCAGATAGTACAACCCCAGGCAAAAAATTAATTGATAGAATCATTGAAACGATATGTGGCTGCTTTCAAGGTCCTCAAACAGATGAAGGAGTTCAGTTGCAGATAATAAAGGTAATTAATTATAAAAGGTGAACTTGTTATTTATAATCTGTATTTTTTTTAAATCAGAAGTCTTTTTCCTTGAAAATATTAGGAAACGTCATTTTATGTGCTTTCCAGGTATAATAGAGGTTATTTGGCTGCTTTTTAGACCCCATGTCAGGATTTTGTTGAGGAATGCCAGGAGTTCATTAGAAGAAGACTATACAGTCGTCCCTCAGTATCTGTGATTCCTGGACCTCTCATGGATCTGTGTATGCCCAAGTCCTTGAGGTGTAGGATTTGCATATAACCTAGGAACATCATTTGTATACTTTAAATTATCTCTAAATTACTTATAGTGCCTAATTCAATGTAAATACTATGTGCATAGTTTGTAATACTGTATTGTTTAAGGAATAATGACAAGAAAAAAGTTTGTACATGTTCAGTACAGATGCAATTTTTTTATCTAATATTCTCAATCCACAATTGTTTGATAGATATGGAATCCAAGAATATAGAGGGCCATCTGTATTTCCATATTTCTAGTTTAGGTTGTACATGTTCAGTACAGATGCAATTTTTTTATCTAATATTCTCAATCCACAATTGGTTGATAGATATGGAATCCAAGAATATAGAGGGCCATCTGTATTTCCATATTTCTAGTTTAGGTTTGGGTCCCCCGAGTCTTCCAGAGTTTTTTTGTTTTCTGACATGTTTTTTATAAATACTCCATCCTTCAAGCTTTAGGATGGTCCTTCAAGCTTTGACCTCACTAATTTCTTTCTTCTGCACTGCTGGACTCCTCATGGCCTGCTCTCTCAACTGATGGACCACCATGTGAACTACTTGTTCACTAGCTTTCATGATTGCCTTGCACCTATTCATCTACTGAACCTGCTCAGCAAAACCCTGTCCCGGGTTCATGCTGTGATGTACCTGGATGGGATGAACTACTTAAGAAAAAAATTAGTCATATTTTCATTCTGCTAAAAATACTGAGTTCTTGGTGTTACTGCTAAANATGCCACTATCTTACCTAACCATAGTGCAATTATCAAAAGCAGAATTAACACTGGTACAATACTATTAATTAAACTATAGACCTTATTTGAATTTCACCAATTTTTCCCACTGATGCCCTATTTCAGGATCCCATAAAGCAAAAATCTCATCAATCAGACAACAGCCAAAGCTACTCTTACTCAGATGCTAAATGTTATCTTTGCACGCATGGAAAACCAAGCAGTAAGTACTAAAAAAAAAAGAAGAGAGGTTGTATAGCACACCACAGCTATCAAATACAGAGAAAGGAGTTTATAGTGATGATAATGAAATCTTTGTGCTTATAGAGAAGAATGTCTTTTATTTATACTTCTAATTACTGGAGATTTGTGGTACTGTATTTTGTTTTGAGGTTTACTGACTTTGACTTTGGACAAGATATGTTTTTAGTTGTTCACAAATAGACTATGAAAGATATTGATTGCCATTTTCCTCAAGAAAGTATTTATGAATTGATATTTTTATTGCATTCAAGCTTAGTAGAGTGTAATGTAGATGCAAACTACCTAATTTGATCTATTCTGGTATAAAATTATTTATTCATTGAGCCTTAAAAAATAATCAAAAGTGCATTTCTATATTGATGAAATATATATATTTTCTCCCATATGTTAAAGGGCCATGATAATCTTCATACTTTAAATTACGTCGGATTGATTGGTAAGAGATCATCAACTAGCAAATCATTTGTTGTTTATTTAGTTGTGTAGGTCTTCATAATTAAAATCCAGCTTCCAACTTTTTATTTTGAACTGATCTTAAACATTGAGAAAAGTTGCACAAATATAACAGAGATCCCCCTCTCCCTTTCACCCTGCTTCCCTTAATGCCACTATCTTACCTAACCATAGTGCAATTATCAAAAGCAGAATTAACACTGGTACAATGCTATTAATTAAACTATAGACCTTATTTGAATTTCACCAATTTTTCCCACTGATGCCCTATTTCAGGATCCCATGTTGCATGTAGTATGCATTTAGTTGTTATGTCTTAGTATTCTACAGTCTGTGACAATTCCTTAGCCTTTCCTTATCTTTCATATCTTGCTGCTTTTGAAGAGTACTAATTAGTTATTTTGTTGAATGTCTCTCAATTTGCTTTGCCTGATGTTTTCTTGTGATTGGAATGAGGAACATTTTTTGCTTGAATACCTCTGAAACAATGTTGTGTTTTCTTGATGCATCATGTCAGGAGTTAATGATGTCAGTGTATCTTATTGCTGGTGATGTTAACCTTGATCACTTGTTTAAGGTACTATCTGTCAGGTTCCTCTACTCTGAAATTATGAGTACTAGTTTTTCTTTTGCAGCTAATGAATATCTTGGGGGAAATATTTGAGGACTATGCAAATATCCTGTTTTGCCTCAAATCCCCCCCCCCCATTTTAATATCCATTAGTGGATCTTGTAGGCAATAGTTATTACTGTGTTGTTTCTCAAATGATGATTTTCTCTTTTTCCCTTTCCTTCTGTATTTATTAACTGAATTCTTCTTTCCAATTTAATTAATCTTTTTGTTATTTATGTCATCTGTAGTCAAGTATCTTTGTTGCCCAAATTATTCCAGCTTTGGCTTTGTACTGTTTTGACAAGTTCCCATCCTTTTTTGAGCATGTTCATAATCTCTGGAATCTCAAGATGTTCCAGGCTTATTTTGAATTTTCCCTGCTTCATCCCTGAAATCAAACACTTGAACAGGGATCCCCCTGATTCCTTCAGTTGGAGAATGGTGTTTAGAAACCAAAGTCTGAGTGTTAGATGTGTCCATTGTTCCTAGGGTGTTAATTGCTTCTAGGCCCTCTCAGCAGATAGAGCTAGGGAATGTGTCTATATGCTAATCTTCTCCCCCACCCCCATATGTGACCTTCTATCTGTATATATTAAAAGCCGTGTGTTTATATTAATATTTCTAATTCCAGTGCAATACCACAGGGTTCATTTTAGCTTTCTCCCTTCATTTATTTGTGACTTCTTTTTCTAAACAATGAGAAATCTGGCTTTCATTTTCTATGCTGTGTTAATTGTTCAATTCTATTATACACATTAGTTTTAGAATTGGTAACCCATACCACTGTGAGAAGCAAATTTACTAAGTAGATTACAGCATTTATATTTAGTTCTTTTTGTCTTTCACCTTATATTATTCATTCAGAATATTGTTTTCTAGTGTCACTTAGATTAATTTCTTTCTTACCCATACTCTTCAATGGGGTAATTAATGTTTTTCCTTTGTAATATAGTTAGGATCATTCGTTACTGTCTGTTTTTCATTTTTTATACCTCTCACATCCTGGTTGGTTTTAATTACTTATTTTGGAGGTATGTAAAATATTACTATGATTTAAGGATCAGAGCAATACAAAAGGTATACTCAGAGAAGAACCATTCTCCTAATTCCTACCACCCCATTTCTCTTCTTTCCACCCTTTGAGTATAGCTCATCTTTTAATTTCTAGTTTATCCTTTCTTAATTTCTTTAGTGCAGCTGAGCAGATATATGTATAGTTTCATATATCACCTTTCTTACGTGAAAGGTAGCATACTGTATTAGTTGTCATAGCAGATTACTCCAATATTAGCTACTTGAAACAACAAGCGTCATCTCTCAGTTTCTGAGGGTTCAGAATCCAAGAGTAGCTTAGGTGGGTGTATTTCTGGGTGGGTTCATATGAGATTGCATTTGGTTGCTTGGTTGAGGATGTTGGCTAGTGCTACAGTCATTTAAAGGCTTTATTTGGCTAGAGAATACGTTTCCAGGCTTACTCATGTGACTGTTGACAAAAGACCTCAGTTCTACACTGTCTTGTTGGGCAGAGGCCTGAGTTCCTTGCCTCATTGATCTCATAGGGGCTGCTCACAACATGACAGCTGACTTCTGATAGGGTGAGAGATCTGAGAAAGAAAATGACAACACAGAAGCTGTTTGTGACCTTATAATCAAGTGTTCACACAGACCATCCCTGGTGTATCCTGGGAGGGGATTATACAAGGGAGTAAAAATTAGGAGATGGGCATGATTGGTGGTCATCTTAAAGTGTGGCTCCTACATATGCTATAGATATTCTTTTGTACTTTGCTCTCTTCACTTAGCAGTATGACCTGGAAAGCATTCCATATCAGTCCTTAGAGATCTTCCTCCTTCTTTTTTACAGATGTATAGTACTCTGAGATGTAATGGCATTAGGTTATATTCAATATTTTGCAGCTGAAAATAGAGGGAGATTGTGCTGCTTTTTTGAGGAAGTGAATGAAAATAATTTTATCACTTTTTAATGACAAAAATATGTTTTATTGGTTTGATTCGTTCAACAAGTTTTTATTGAATACCTTATATGTTCCTGGTACTGTGCAGGACATCACTTATACAGTGATGAGCAAAACTGATGGGAGCGCTGCCGCGCTTCCCAAGCGGCGCACTATCCAGTGCGCCACCGGGCCGGCCCCGTTCAACAAGTTTTTATTGAATACCTTATATGTTCCTGGTACTGTGCAGGACATCACTTATACAGTGATGAGCAAAACTGATTTGACAACTGCCTTCAAAGATCTTATAAACTGTGGGGCAAAGAGGGAGAAGGTGAACTTTAAACAGATAATCACACAAATAAATATATAATTGCATTGTGATAGAGGCTGTGAACCTGTTTCACGTCGTGAAGGCTATTTATTTCTGTGTCATGGATAATTTTAGAAGAGTAGGGAAAGGGGAGAGAGAAATAAGGAGAAAGGGTCATGCAATAATAAATAAGCAGATGATTTAACTTACACATTTGCTAAAATCTTCTTTGCTAAAAGTCTGATTCATTTATATATATGCTACTGGTGACCTTACTCCTCCCTTTCTCCCCCAAAATAAAACTCTCTACAAAGGAAATCTTGGCAGCCTTTATTATAAAACGTGTAGTCCTAACACTGTTTCGAAGAAGAAAATGCTAATTTCTTCCCTCTAGAGCAGTGTTTCTCAACTGGAGATGGTTTTGCCCCCAAAGGCACACTTAGGACATTTTCTATTGCCATGACAGAGGTGAGGGGGCAGCTATTGGCATATTGTGAGTGGAGGCAAGGGAGTGCATAGAAAAGCCCCCTCATAAGCAAAGAAATACCCAATCGAAAATGTCAGTAGTGCTGATGTTGAGAAGCCGTATGCTAGAAAGTACAGAAAATGTATAGAAAATGTATAAAGGTTTATTTTCATAAATTAACATTTTCTCTTTTTTAAAAAAACAATTATTTTTTAATTGAAATGTATTGGTTGTACATATTTATGGGGTACAGAGTTACATTTAAATACGTGTATACAATGTGCAATGAACAAATCAGGGTAGTTAGAAAATTCATCATCATAAAAGTTTATCGTTTCTTTGTGATGAGAACATTTGAGCTCCTCTGTTGTGGCCATTTGAGAAGATACAATAAATTATTGTTAATTATAGATGCCCAGCCCTACTGTATACCACTAGAACTTATGTTTCTTATCTAGCTGTAATTTTGTGTCCATTAACCAATCTTTTTTTCAAGAATTTTGCTAGAGTTTCTACAACTCTGGAATAAATGAAAAAGTTGGAATTTGACATGCTTGTCTGTGATTTCAAAGTATCTGCTTGCCCTGCTAAACCATGGTGCCAATTGGTTGAAGTTAAGCTGAGGGAGGGGTTTGATTGCAAATTATAGATTCCTCACTGTTAATTTGGAAATTGACTTTTCCATGAGTGGACTAAAGTATTGGTCTAAGAATTCTGTTCTGATACTAACTGTGCAACCAGTTGTAGCCATCAATTTTCTTATGTGTAAAATAAGGAATTTGGACCATGTAGATTATAAGGCTCTTCTTACCTTTTAGGCATAAAGATCTTTTAGTTCAAATTTATTTTATAAACTCACATAATTAGTTCTGGTATTTTTACATAATGGAATATTACTGGCAAATATGAAATGTTTGTAATTTGATACTGTAAAATATTTATCTTTGTGGAAATTAGTTCTGTGGGATCATTCTTATCAGGTCCTGAGAACCAAAAGAGGTGGGTGAAAAGAAATAAAGTGCTAAAAAATGAAACGCTGTAATCTTGATTGTTAATGTTTTCAGCATCCTGTAAGTGAGTCAGTTTATAGATGGTATTATTTACATAATAATGATAGGTCTTCTAAAATAAAATTCAGACATAAGTAGATACAGTTTTTTCATATATATTAGGTGACGGGGCAGAGTGATTTAAGCCCTTGTTGCAGTTTTATTTACTAAATGTAATTTTATTATTTTTTAATTAAAAGATATTTGATAAGGTTGATATAAGAACATGCTACAGAGGCATGCACAAAAGTTCCCTCCCGCTCTTGTTTCCCATTTGGTCGTTTCCTAACCTTCACCTTCTATAATTAATCATAATTACTAGTTTCTCATGTTTCCTTCCAGGCTATCTTTCTGTATGTGTAAGCAAAAGTGAATGTGTATGTTTGTGTGTGTTTTATTCCACCTACTTTTTTCCTCCCTTAGTGGAGCTCTTATTTGATTTTAGGTAAATCCATTGTTGGCAACAATCCAATTATACTCTGAGGCTTTAAAAAAATTGATTTAATTTTTTGTTTCATTTAAGTAACATATTCACATTATTAAATACAAAATATAATGAAAAGAGTATATAATGAATGTCTGTTCTTATGGCCAGTTTCCAGCCACCTAAGAACATTGTTATTGTTTTTAGTATATTTTATGTTCTTTCTTTCTGATGGACTATAATTTCCAAGCCTAGAGATAAGGTGGCACCGTTTTTATATATGGATGTAACAGTATCCTTCCAAATTTTAAACAACTTATTTTCTAATTTTGGAAATTATTCTGTTTCCAGTTGCAAGAAGCCAAACAAATGGAAAAAGAAAGGCATCGGCAGCATCATCATCTTTTGCAGTCTCCAGTAAGCCATCATGAGCCTGAATCACCTCAACTTAGATATTTGCCACCTCAGACTGTTGATCATATATCCCACGAACATGAAGGGGACCTTGATCCCCATACAAATGATGTGGATAAAAGTCTTCAGGATGACACAGAGCCTGAAAATGGATCTGATATTTCCAGTGCAGAAAATGAACAGACTGAAGCTGATCAAGCAACTGCAGCTGAAAGTAATCTTTATGAGAAGGGGGTGTGGGGTGTGTGTGTTAAGGGAAACATGGAGGAATGAGAGTTTTTGGTAAAGAAATGTGGAAAGGATAATATGATTTAATGTATATCAGACACATTGTGGTAATTGTGGATTTTTTTCATCCTGAATGGTAAAGTTAATTTGACTTCAACCCAAAAGGCATCTATTAGTTATACTGTGCATTTATTAGCATCTCATGAGCAGTATGATTTATAGACTTATTTGGAAAAGATACATGTTTTTAAAGAGGGTCATAAATGTCTGTTAGCATGTTATATGGGAACTTCAGTTTTCCTAAGATTAGTTTCATAGCAAACAAGGGACCTATTTAGTAAGTCTTCTGGAATATGACTGAATATTTTAGGAAATCATCAGTTTAAAAAGTATATTATGGTCAAAAAAGTACTGAAATTAAATATAAAAACAAATCTTTTGAGAAACCAACTGACAAAAAATCTCATTTATTTTTATATCCTGATGTGTAGTAATCACTAAAATTAAGACGTTCTCTGACAGTATTTTTTCTAAGTAAATTTATAAGAAAAAAGTTACAAGATTACAGAAATTAAATTATATTCATTTATTTTACAAATGTGTTTCTCTCTAAAAATAATTACATGAAGTTATTTTTTCCCAAACATTATTTTAAGGTATTCAATGAAACTGCCAGGGAGTTTGGGTTGTTCCCTTTGTTCCTGCTTAGCTTGATGTCAAAAAAAAAATAATGGAAACTCTATTGCCTGTCCAGTGTGGTTCTCTAGAACTAAGGTAGTTAGGATGTAGTTACAGTACATCTGAAGTTTGTGTTTTTACTTCAGTTTGAGGAAAGACTTCTATATTTTCAGCTCTTAACTTTTTTTTTTTTTTAATTACACCTTTTCTGTAACTTAGTGGCATGAGTAGTTTCCTTTTTCCTTTTTTTCCTTTTTGTCTTTTTTACTGACCGGTAATGGGATCGCAACCCTCGGTGTCGCACCTGTACCAGGGACCGGCAACGGGATCGCAACCTTTGGTGTTGCGCCCGCACCACGCTCAGCCAGTGAGCGGGAACCGGTCTCCACATGGGATCCGAACCCTCGGGCGGGAGCGCCGCCGCGCTTCCCAAGCGGCGCACTATCCAGTGCGCCACCGGGCCGGCCCCATTTTACTTCTTAAATTTAGTTTTACATTGGAAATATAGTTCTTTGGTGGAAGAAATAGTAAGAAGGGCCAAAAAGCTCTGGCTAGTGGAGGCCCAGACGGCCCCATCTCTGCTTCACGGTACTCACAGTGTTGGAGTACAATGTTGATCTTATTGTTAGTGATGAACCTAAGTAATCAAAACAAGCTTTAATTACATTTAATATGTTATTCCATAAGGGATAGTGTAGGAGTGTAGTAGTATGTGTACTAAGTGTAAATAAGTGTGTATAGGACATGTTAGAAATGTTTTATTCAACATACTTTTTAATGTTTTGGTTCTTAAAGGAATAATCTAGAAAATTCAGTTGAGTAATTGTTTAATAGCTTGTCAGATGAATCATTGCTGAAATTGACTTGAATTTGGAAAATATTTAAGTTTTGGTCTGTTTATAAATTTTGAAAGTTTAACGTTTAATTGCTTCTAATTTCATGTATCTATTTGATTTTTTCCTTTTATTCTTCATGTTTTAGGAAAGTTTTTTATCATAAATGTTTAGTAAAAGTTTCCAAAAAGTTAAAATAATATCCTCTTGAATTTTTCTCTTTTAAAGCATTATCTAAAAATGATATGTTATTTGATGGAGAAAACCATGACTGTGAGGAAAAGCCACAAGATGTTGTACAGAGCATTGTAGAAGAAATGGTGAACATCGTTGTTGGAGGTAGAGCACTTCACTCAAATTAGTTTATTCTGTCTTATGGGATTTTATCTGAGTATGGAGACTATATAATGCATGGAACAAAAGGGCAAAATTATAAGCTGTTTCTCAAATTAGTGATTTTGTGTGTGTGTGTGTGTGTGTGTAGTATAAATATCTTTGATTACAGAAGAGTACTCCTTTTTTGGTCCAGCTTCAGTTACAATCTTTTATTAAAAACCCACTCTTCCCACCCCATTAAAATAAAAGTTGATTCTGTTTCATTTTTTGGTTTTGTTTTTGGTGGGAGAGGGACAAGAGTATATTTTCCATCGTCCTAAATGTGCTAAACTTTATAAACTAGAGAATGTTTAAATTGTTTTGGTTTTGAGTATTTCATATTTTTTTTGGAAAAAAACCTGATTTCTTATCATTTTATTATCACAGACCAACTTATAGTTTATATAGGGTCAGGTCCTATCTAATGGATTGTATTATAAAAATATCTTAAAGTTTGTTAGGAATTTTACTCACATTTTTGTAAATAGTACTATTATAGGTAGAATTAGATTTGAGGCCAATCCATTGAAGCTTATTTAATTCATGGTATCTTGCACAGGGCTAAGCACAGTACCTTAACACATATATTCTAGAAATAAGATTAAATGTAGTGTGGATCTTGAATAAGATTAGTGCTGTTTCAGCTCTACCTAACTCTCATTTATGACTTTATTTCTAAGAATGTATTTCCTCCCTTGTAAGTACAGCTCCAGAAGTAGGCATTCATCTGATTGCCTTCTCATTTTTTCATTCATCTTTTCATTCAACAAATGCTTATAGAGTGCATATGGTTGTATGCCTGTAGGGGGATACAAAAATCAATTTAAGATAGACCATGCTCTGGAGGAGAAGGCCTATCGAATGTACGTATGTAAGACAAATATAAGATAGAAAGTAGTAAGTTCCATTAGAAATAAACAGTTAAAATATATTAAGAAGTTCAAGAAAAGGGGGTAATTATTGCTAGCTAAAATGATCCAGGAGGGCTTCATATAGGAGGTGACACTTGAATTTAGACTATATGGATTCATGCTGGTATGGAGGAGTGGTATTTCATGTATTAGAATTAGAATCTCTATTAGCTAAAGTCTAGAAGAGAGAGTAATTGCATAAATTTGGGAATTGGCAGGTGGTGGTTTGGCTGAAATATAGAATATGTGATGTCATACAGTAGAAAATAAGATTAAAGAAGTACTTTAGAGCCAACAAGTAGAAGGTTATAAATTCCAGGTTTAGGATTTTTGGACTTCTACGACAGAATGGATTACAATTGAAGATTTGAGAACTGAGAAATGAAATGATCAGAACTATGCTCTAAGAAGCTAAATATGGAAATAGCAAGTCCAGTAGGAGTTCAGCACAGTCATCTAAGCCTGACTAGGACAGTAACAGTGGAAATGGAAAAGAAAACATGGATAAGTGAGATAATAAATATTGAATCAAGAAGACTTTGTAACTGACTAAATAGGTAAAGAAGAGAAAACTGTGTGTCAGAGATCCCTAAGATTACCCCAAGGTTTAGTGATTTCATTGGGAGGATCCACAGGGCTCTGCATATAGTTGTAATCACTGCTATGATTGATTACAGCATAAAGGTGCAACGCAAAAGAATCAAAGGGAAAAAGTTGTATGGGGTGGAGTCCAGAGGAAATCAGGTTCATGCTTCCAAGAATCCTCTCCCAGTGAAGTCATACAGGATGCTCTCACTTCTTCCAGCATCAAATTGTGAGGTGCTCTCTACCAGAGAAGCTCATTAGAAACTCAGGGCCCAAGGTTTTTATTGGAGGCTCTCATGTAGGCACTCTGTGCCTAGCATGTACCGAAATGCTAGACTCCCAGAAGGAGAGCTGTGTGCATTATAAACCATACTATTTTTACAGGTGGATGGTGGTACCATTGGTAGAACAGAATCGTGCTGGAAAAGCTACTTGGGAAAAAAGGCACTAATATTTACTTTTCACATATTGAATTTGACCTGCAGGTTATCCATACATGTAGAAATGTTTATGAAATATGTAATGAAAACTAGAACTCTGGCCTAAGAGGTGTCAAGGCAGGTGATGTAGATGAGAGTCATTTTAGTAGTTGAAGCCATAAAGTTATCAAGGGGTACAGTGTAGAGACTAAAGAAGAGAACATGATCTTGGGGAATGTGAATTAAAATATAAAAAAAATTTAAAAACCGTATAGTTAGGGAAGAAAGAAAAAGAGCATTACTTGCCCATGCATTCTTTAAAAATCCAATAATATAGTTCAGGAGTTGTCAAGTTATGGCCCATGGGCCACATTTGGCCTACTGTATGTTTTTGTTAATAAAGTATTATTTAACACAGCCATGCTCATTTGTTTTCCTATCACCGATAGTGGCTGCTGTTGCACTGCCAAGGTAGAGTTAAATAGTTGCCATAGAGATCCTTAAAGCCTGAAATGTTTACTATCTGGCCCTTTACAAAAAAAAAATTTTTGCCCATACCTAGTGTAGATGAGTACAGAGTATGAAGTGATTGTTCTTTCATTTTTTCTGCAACTTTTTTTACTTAGAAAAATTTCAAACCTAGAGAAAAGTTCAAAGAACAGTACAATGAACACCTGTGTGCCCTTTATCTAGATTCACTAATTGTTAATAGCTTTGCTACATTTGCTTTATGTGTCTTTAAATACACACACACACTTATGTATGTCTCTTTGCTGAATGATTCAAAAATTGGTTGTATACATCATGACATTTTATCCCTAAATACATCAGCATATATCTTCTACAAATAAGGGCATTCTCATTTCCATTTTCACACTTAAGAAAAGTAACACTTTTCACATTTAAGAAAATTAACACTATTTCAAGAATATGTAATACATATATTTAAAATTTTTCCCAGTTGTCCCACATTGTTTCTCTTACATTGTTTGTTTTTCCTTTTCTTTTGTTATGTCCAGGACCCAATCTAGATACACTCCCATTTGCTTTGTCTCTGGTCTCTTTAGTTTCGAGCAAGTCCTCTTGCCTTTTTTCTCTCATCTTTTGTGACATTTACTTTTTTGAAGAGTACAAGATGGTTGTCTTGTAGAATGTTCCACATTTTGGATTGATTGATTTGATATTTTCCATATTTGTAGATTTAGAGTAAACATATTTGACAAGAATACTGCATGGTACTTCTTAATACATCATATAAGTTAATACATAATGACAAATTACCCCTGTTGGTGATAATGTTGGATCATTTGGTTAAGGTGGTGACTAACAGCTCTCTCCAAAGTAAAGGAACATTTTTCCCTTTGTAAATAATAATTAATTTCCTATTTTATCTACTCTTTCTGGTGAAAACCTAGATTCCCAACAATATGCCATTACCAACAACAAACCTGTGAACTAAAGGTTAAGGTTTCTTTGTAATTATATGTCTTAGAATATGTCCTACTAAGGGTAAAGAGTGAGAATACTGTGTTTAAAAAGTTACTTGTATTAATGATTTTACTGATTTAATTTTTTAAAATATGAAGTATATTTATGTGATTCAAAGTCAAAATTATATAAAGTATTTACTACTCATAGAACTCCTTCTCTTTCTGACCCACCTTCTTTAGATAACCACTTTTACTAGCTTTTAGTTTATCTTTCTTGGGGGAGGGGGAAGGGGTGGTGTGCACCTGTGTGTGTGTGTGTCCCAGAGAAGTAAGAAAATACATATAGTTTTTTTCACCTAATATATATTAGGAATTCACTCTATTTCAGTTGATAGATATTTTTCTCATTTTTTTCTTGTGGCTCTCTGCATAATATTCTATTATGTGGATATATCATAGTTTAGTCAATCAGTCCCCTATTGTACTTAGGTTGTTTCCAGAGTTTTGCTGTTATAATAATGCTTCAGTGAATAATGTTGAACATCAATAATGTTTCATATTTATAGAGGTTTGTCTTCAGTACAAAGTCCTGTGAGATTATTAAGTCAAGTAATAAATGAATGTGAAGATCTGTTAGCTTTTCCTGAATTCTTCTTCATAGGTGTTGTACCATTTTACACTCTTGTTAGTTATGTATGAGAGTGCCTTTTTCTTGATAGATGCCAGTGGAGTATAAGATTTTGAATTTTTGCCAACCTGAAAGGTGAGAAATGTATCTGTTTGGCTTTAATTTGCATTTCTCTGACTGTAAGTGAAATTAATATCTTTTCATATGTGTAAACCATTTGTATGCGTTTATTTTTTTCAGTGAGTCATCTATTCATGTCTTTTCATTTTTCTATCAGGTTTTTATTCTTTTTCTCAATTTTTAAGAATTCTTTACATATTGATTTTCTGTGGTATGTGAGTTTTGCAAATATTTTCTCTCAGTTTATTATTTGCCCAAGTCTTTCTATCTTGTGTGTTTTGCTCTACAAAAGTTTTTTTAATGACATTTTCCCATGCGTGCCTGCATACATATATTCAAATATAAATGGGAACATACCATACTTACTGTTAAGTGCTCCACATGTAAAGAGCTTGAGTGAAGGTACTCATTGTTCGAGGAGCTGTGGGGAGGAACGTGGAAATCTGCTCTTCTGCACAAACCTCTTCCACCATAAGGTGGCATTAAGGAGCACTGAGAACCGTCATACCTGCTCAAGCCAGCAGATGGCAGCAGACTCACACCAACCTCACGTTAAAGAGGTCGAATCGAATTTTCTCCTCCGCGTCTCCCCTTCCTGCAATTGCTGCTATCTCACTCAGCCTGGCCACCCCGTCAGGCAGAAAAGGGAGACTTATATGGAAGAGAATCGGAACACAGCCATGATCCCTACATAAGCACAGCACCACGCTCAGCCAGTGAGCAAACCGGCCATCCCTATATAGGATCCGAACCCATGGCCTTGGTGTTATCAGCACCGCACTCTACCGAGTGAGCCACGGGCTGGCCTATAATCTGCCTTTTTCACATATTAAATTATAACTATTCTTTCATGTCAATTTGTATTTTATTA